TATGTATGTATGTATGTATTTTTTCCTAAAGTGGCTTGTTGCGGGGGCCGTTTGGCCGGGTTCCTGTCTATGCCTTTCGCCTCACTGGCAGCCTCGGTTCAGGTGTCGTTGTCCATGTTTGACCAGGCACCAGGTTGGGCTCAGAAGAAGTCCACCTGCATGGCATCGTCAGTTTGGCTCTCTTCTTCAGCCTGTTCCTGGCTGCGGGTTGGGCTTTCAGGATTGAGCCCTGCTGGCCTTGGACTTGCGGCTGCACTGTCTCGGTGCTTGGATCCTGCAGGTGGGCTGGGTGTCATGGCCTGTGCAGGATGTTGGTCATCTTCCCTCTCAGTGATGGAGACGTTTGGGCCGTGGTCCGGTGGTGGACATTGGAGTGGCCAGCTCGGTCGGCTTCTTCTCACCACTATCTCCTCCTGAAGGCGTAGGAGGAGTGGGCTTGAAGAAGGACTGGATGGGCGGTGAGCCTTTGATGCCTGCGCCCTTGCACTCTTTGAGAAAGTTGGCTGTGTTGATGATCCTCTTGCTGTTGTCTAGGTGTAGCTGCAGGCCGCAGTGTGTGCAGCTGATCCTGTTGCCCTTCTGCCAAAGCCTGTGGGTAGGGTGTCCTGCATGCTGTCCTTCGAAGGGACAGTCTAAACATCTGCTGTTGATGTAGTCTGTGAAGGCCTGCTCGTTGGTGCGCTTGTGGATGCTGTTGCCACACTTCGTGCATCGAAGATAGCCTTTTGTTTCCTCGTAAGAGTGTGTGTCTTTGTCTGGTGGTCGTGCCTCCTGGTCTTTCAGGAGGTTGCGGATGACTTGCAGTCTGGTAAGCTTCTTGCTTGGAGGTGGGACCTCAGGTCCTGGGGCCGGACAGATCTGTTCTGCTTGTAGTTGGGCGCAGGTCTCCCCAAGTCGATCTTCCAGCTTTTGTGCTGTCAAAGCCTGATGCATGCGGGTCCCACATGTGGTGCAGGCATAGCCACTCCTGTGTGGAGCCCATCGGTGGTAGGGCTCTTGCCATGGTTTGGTGCACTGCTGGATGAGGTCCTTCTTTTTCTGCTTGGTGTGCTTGGCTGGTTGTCTGCCCGCTTTGTTGTGCAGGTGATGTTGTTTATCTTCAAAGATCTTCTCCAGCCGCTGAACTGCATGTGTGTAAATGGCTTTGTGGTCACGGTCAAGGGTGGTCTGCCATTCTGTTTGTTTGCGGTCGTGCAATGCATCCGCCCTCTCCCATGCTGTCAGGGCAGCATCGCGCTGACGACGCCGGAGTTGGGGCTCGTTGCCTGGTGCTTCTGGTGTCCGGGCGTTGCGGCTGATGTAGAGCACGGTGATGCGTTGTCTGTCCTGCTCTGTTGTGTCAGCTAGTAGGTCTGGATATGGATGTCGCTGTGGTGTTCGGTTCCATGCCTCCCAGACCGAGCTGAGTTGGACTATCACTTTGGCCGGTTTGGTCGTGTGCTTTGCCAATGCCACCAGTCCTGCAAAGAGTGCTCTGCCTTTGCTCTGGGGTCCTTGCGCCGCTCCCGTGATTGCACCTAGACGTTTCAATTGTCCCATTGATTGAGTGTGGATGCAAAGGCCAAAGACCCAAATCTGACTTCGAGGGTCATAGTGGGACGGTGTGGCATCCAGTGTGAATGCCAGTCCTGCATACTGGTCTGGTCCAATGGGGTGGAGGTCTTGCCATATGCCGTGCCCTTGGTAAGGGTGGCTGTTGTGAAGATGGTCTTGGGGTTCCAGTGGTATCCAACCCTTGGACCATAAGGGATCTTCGTCCTGGCCTGTGATGCGCTCCAGCCAATCTGGTGGTAATGGTGTGTGGTTCTTTTCTCTGTGCCATTTGCACAACCATAGCACATGCTTTGGCGTTGCCGGGACGTGGCACAGGGGACATGGCTTGGTGGATGTTGCATCTTTGAAACGCAGTGCGCCCTGAACCCATGTTTGGAGGTGCCTCTTCTGTTGCTCTGGTAGCTTGGGCCTGAGCTGTCGATAGGTGTGCCAGTCAAGGCCTGTGAGCAAATGCTGGTGGTTGTGTCTTTTGGCAAACCTGTTGGCGCGCTGTTGCTTGGCTTCATTGGCGAATTGGTGTTCGAGTTTCCACCAAGGCTCATTGAGATGGACTTCATTGGCCAGCATGAGAGGTGTCTCAGATCTTGTCCAATGGAGGAGATCTTGCACATCCCAACCCCATTCCGTCATGTAGGCTATCGTGGCCGCCATTGGGCCTTTGACTGTGTACCATGGGTACTGCTTGCTCCGGAGGCTCGCATGTGTGGCTTGCCAGGCTTGCTGCAGTTGTGGCATTTGGTCAGTAGGCCATGCCTGAATGAGCTGGTGCATAGCACGGATGTGGTGTATGATGATCTGGTCACCTGGATCCACATACTTGTTGCTATGGATGTCATATGTATGTATGTATGTATGTATGTATGCATGAATGTATGTATGTATGTATGTATTTTTTCCTCCCTGAAGTTGCAGTTCGTTTTGGCCATGGTGGCCTGGGTGGCTTTCGCCGGCTCGGTTGGCCTCAGTGCCTCAGAAGAAGTCGACGAGGATTTCCGGGTCATGGGCATCTTCTTGTTCTTCTTCGGCCTCTTCGGTGCTTTGGGACATTGGCTCATCAGCCGCAGTCACTGTCTCGGCGCACAGGAGGCGACATTTCTTCAGAGCAAACCTGAGCAGGTGCTGCTGGAGCTGGCTTTGGCTGGGTGTCATGGCCGGTTGTGTGGCTAGTGGAAGCCCTTGGTGCAGCTGCAGCAGAGCTGGTGGTTGGCTCTGGTGGTGCTGGCACCGTTTGGCTGGGAGGACTGGCTTGACTGAAGAAGTGAGCCAGTGTAGGTGAGGTCGGTTTGTGACCTTTGCATTCCTTCTGGAGCCCTTTGGTAAGAATCAGTCGATCTTGAGCATCCAGGTGGGTTTGGAGTCCACAGCCTTTGCATTGTATGCCTTTGCCAATTTGCCACACTGTGTGTGTGTGCTCCATGCGCTGCATGCGCGTGGGTGTAGGGTGCATCAATGCAGCTGCTGTTCAGGAACTGGTTGAACAGCTCTTCATTGGCTCTCTTGTGGATGGCCTGATTGCATTTGGTGCACTTCAAATAGCCTGTGGTCTCTTGAAGTTGATGAACATCAGGTGTGGTGGGATGTTCTTGCTGGAGCTGAAGCAAAGAGGCAATGCGGCTGGCCCGAGTGGGTTTCTTCCCTACTGCTCGTCCGGGAGGCAGATCGGGTTCGGGTGTTGGTGCTGTGAGTTGGGCACAGTCTTCTTGGAGCCTTTCTTCAATCAAGGATGCCGTCAGCCCTTGGTGAACCCTGGTTTGGCATGTGTGGCATTGGTAGCCGCTGCGATGGGCCTTCCATTGGTGCTTGCCTGGTTGCCAAGGCTGTTGGCATTGAGCTATGAGGGTCTTCTTCCTTTGTTTGGTCTTGTGGGCGGTTGCTCTGCCTGGTTTGGTGTGCAAATAGTGCTCCTTGTCTTCGAAGATCTTGGCCAAGCGGGCTGCCGCATGTGTGTAGATCTCCAGATGATCTTGGTCGAGGATGCGCTGCCAGGCTTCTTTCTCAGGGTTGTGGATGCTGGTGGCCCTCTCCCATGCAGCGAGGGCTGCATCTCTTTGGCGCTGTCGTAGATGTGGTTCGTTGCCCGGAGCTTCAGGGGTCTTGTGGTTCATGTGGATGTACAGGGGTGTGATCAGAGTAAAATACTCTGCTGGTTGGCCCTGAGCCAGGTCGTGGGAGCCTTTCCGCTTGCCCGGATTCGTCCAAGCTTCCCAGACCGAACTGGCCTGGACAATCACCCGTGTTGGTGTGGATGTATTGAGCCAGAGTGAGGAGCCCTTGGAAGATGGCTCGAGCTTTGGTTTGTGGGCCTCTTGCCATACCAGTGATGGCGCCTTTCCTTTGCAAGGCTCCTAGACAGTAGCCATAAAGGAAAGGGGATAGATCCATGCCTCCGCTCGTTTGTCCCCTGAAGTGGGATTTAGAGTGACGGAGAGCCCCTGCCATGGTTGTAGTGGAAGAGGTTCCAAGGATTGCCAACATCCGTGTCCTTCCAGGCCAAGTGGGCTGTTGAGGTGGTCTTGCGGCTCTTTTGGAATCCACCCATAGGCCCATAAGGGCTCTTC